AAGTCTTGTTGTTTAATTCAAGAATCCTTCTCTTTCTTGGAGAGTTGAAATCAAGGTGGATTGTACCTTACATTGTCAAAAAAGTGTTTGGACACGGAGCAGTAGAAGTGAAAAATCCTTGAAATAGTAACATCTTTACTATTAATGGTCAGCGGTTGAAACCATTTTTGGAGGATTTTGTTAAAAATGTGAAAATCATTCTTTTAATGGACCCAAAATACCCCTTCGAGATTAGCGCCTGCCGACATAAAAAAGGNAGAGAGAGAGAGAACCTAACGTGGAGACACCTTGATTACATTAGTCATCTTATTTACTAATTTCACCTTCAGGCTCTTGATGGATTCCAACTCAACCAATCCCAAATTCTTGANATCATTCTTTTAATGGACCCAAAATACCCCTTCGAGATTAGCGCCTGCCGACATAAAAAAGGGTCAGATCAGAAAAAATCCAATCAAACTCAACCCACGGAAGTGACTTTATAAGGTCCCCACCCCTTTCCTTTTCTTTCCCCACCCCTTTCCTCTTTTTCCCCACCGCCTTTCCTTTTTCTTCTTTTTCTTATTCTTCTCTTTCTTTCCTGTTTACTGTTTTCTGCAACAAGACCCAGCTCCCAACAGTTCCATGACCATATTACCCGAAGACCTAGTCTTTTGTCTCATGATCTGCATGTGTTTACTCTATTTGTACATGACTCTTCTTCCTCTATCTAATCTTAAAATCAAGGGTTTACCTCCTAGCGGAAACCCAGATCTGTGTAGAATGATTGATTTGGGTATTTTTGATTGTAGGTTTCGGCATTCTACCTTTCAACTTCATCGCCATGCGCAACATGTCGATAAATTCGAAACATTGGGGACAATATTCAATTTAGGTTGGGGGTGAAACAGTTCATATTTTGTGTCCGTAAAAATTTTTGTTTTTGTTATTGTTGTTGCTATTTTTGATCATATTGTGTATCTTGTCTTGTATTTTGTATAAATTAATGATTATGACTATGAGTCAGCTTTGATCGTCTTTGTGACTGACAGATGTTAAAGAACCAAATAGTGAGTATTAAAACATAGAAAGCATGGATGTTAAACTTTTTTGGTTTAGTCTTGGAGTTCTACGCACTTTTTCATCTGATGTGCATGCTATGATCATGAGAAAAGTAAGATTAGTAAGAAAGAATGAGATCCAAGAAGCACAAGCAAAATCTCTCTGTGGCAGAAGCACTTTTGCTAAACGTCGTCGTGCCAAGAGACTTGGTGCCTGTAAAAAATGTGATAGTCTTTCACGAGAAAAGATATAATCAGTGTTCTGAATCAATTTCTAGTCGCGACTTGACCGATTAGACTGGATAGTGAATGAGCTTAGTAAGAATTACCCTGAGATGCCATGTTATTCTGGTACTATGCTTAACCGATTTATGAGAGAGGAAATTGGGAGAGTCACTGGTTGTCCTCACTACACAGATACGGAGGAAGACTTGGATTAGATTATTCTCGGAGGAAAACTGTGTTGGGATAAAAGTTAAGGGTCCAAATTTTTTTTAAAAAAAAAAAGTGTAAAAGCCTTTTTTGTACAAAACTCTTTTGACTGAAATAAAAATATGGGCAGAATAAGGAACATCCCAAAATACCAACCTTAAGCGTGTGTAGGGGCTTGTCCTGAGACGCCATGAATTTATGATTCAAATATGTGTGTTTAACCTTCTCTAATTGTGTATAGTGTAGTGTAGAGAAATTTTTGAGTTTGGATTTAACGTTCGAACGTCACTTGCTCGCAATACTCAGCTTTTGATGAAGTCTCTGATGGAAACAAAAGTACTGGGAGCTCAGCCAGTTCGAACGCCAATAGAACGTTCAAACGAGAGTATCACGTTCGAACGCCAATAGGACGTTCGAACGAAAAGAGCTTACAGTACTTTGGTCTTTGATAGAACTCAAAAGTACTGAAAGCTCACCACGTTCGAACGATATGTTTAAAATCCTTCGTGACTCGTTCAAACGTTACCTGCGTTCGAACGTCACTTCTCAGGCTATAAAAGCCTGGATCGTCTTCCCCATTTCGAAATCCCCAAAACCCTTTAAAAATCTCAAAACCCTAGGGCGATTTTTCAAAACCCAAACCTCAAAACACCACTCATTCTCCATTTCTACCTAAAATCACTCATCCCAAAACCATTCCCACATTAAAAAACCCCATTTTCACCAAGAACTCAAGATTTTCAAAACCCTCACAAGCTCAAAATCGAAAACACAATGCCTCCAAGGGTCAAACTGCGTGCTAGGCACAACCCCACAACTCAAGAGCCCAATTTCGTAGAGGAAATCATTGAGGAGAGGGAGGGGAGGCCAATAATGAGGAGATATGACCGAACCTGATTCCCCAGCGCCCTCAAAGCTGACAAGTATGAGAATTTTTTCTGAAACCACACTATAGTGTGTGAGCGTGATGTGGTGTTGACTGATTTTGTGGAGTTGGGGATATTGGCAGAGATGGAGAGGAGGAATTGGGTGTTGTATTTGCGAAACAGAGGGGAGGCCATTATTGACTTGGTGAGGGAGTTTTACTCCAACGCCGAGATCATCAACGGAGCAATCCGAACGTATGTGAGGGGGACACACATTGATGTGTATGAGGAGTACATTAGAGAGTTGAGGCAAGAAATATCTCGGGTGAAAAATCCGACATACCGCCCGAAAAAAAATGTAGCTATGAATGTGGTTGGAGCGGAGTTGACTGGTTTTTTGTAGTCGGGAAAGAGATTTTTTAGATAAGGGGAGCTCACAGACAAGTATAAAATGCTAAATTTGATTGCGGTGTCTATCCTTGCACCAATAGGACGAAAAAATAAAATTTTACCCGACATGATCCGTCTACTCTATGCACTTGGTAAGAGCCAAAACATTGATCTCCGCTCCCTCATCTTGACAGAAATGAAGAAAAGTTGTAACATGAAAAGAAACTCCCTTCCTTTCGGCACCCTAGTGACTGAAATATGCAAAGACCACGGGGTTAGAGTAAGGCCCGAAATGGAAATCCAATTAAACGTATGTCTTGTGAATAGCTAAGGGACGAAAAATGCAATCCCTTTCTTATATATCTATCATGGGGGGTGTTTTGTTGGGTACCTTGCTCTTCTGGGTCATACACAATCTGGATTTCAACATATGAGCTCACATCAAAGTTATGAACCACCTCGACAAAGACGAGATCTTCAGCTTCCAAATGACCACTGCCAATTTTCCAATGGCTTAACCATATCATGTGTAGTGTCATCGTCTGGAATTCCAAAAATTGTTGGGCAGTAAAGCCAATCCAAACCCTATGATATGTTATTCACTACAATTTCAATATGTGATTCCATAAAATTTGGCGATGGAACTTTGCTTGAATAGACAACACATATGTTCAAGCCACAGATTTTGAGGTCGAGAACTGAAGGAACTCTAAAAGATATTGAGGGGTACTTATCCCAATCTGGGGTCGGAACGAACACACCACCACCTAACAAAAGCTGTGAGAACCCCATTTTTTTGTTAGTCCTGAACCATTCTGGAACCACACTCCCAGGAAGAAAAATGTTGAATATGCCACATTGGTATAGTCCCTGTGCCATCAAAGTCATAATATTAAGAGAGAGAGAGAGAGAGAGAGAACCTAACGTGGAGACACCTTGATTACATTAGTCATCTTATTTAATAATTTCACCTTCAGGCTCTTGATGGATTCCAACTCAACCAATCCCAAATTCTTGAGTATTTCTGCATCAAAATTTCCAAGGGAATCCAACTTGTACAACCCCTTAACCTCAACTAATTTCTCACATCCGCCAACATGCACGTGTAGAGGTTTGGGTAGATTTGTCATCAATTCCAATGACTGACATTGTGATACAAATAGAAAAACTAAGCTCATTGGTAGCTCTGGAAGTGATTGGAGCTTTCTGCAATCCACTAAAAAAAGCTGCGTGAGCTTAGTAAGATCCTTTATGCTCTCTGGCAGAGAAAAAATTGGATTTTCTGCTAGATCTAAAGACTGCAATGAGTGCAGACTGCTAAGATCCTTGGGGAAAGAATTATCATCTATATTGCATCCAATAAGGCTTAACGTTGTTAAGGATTGTGGTAAACAAAGACATGAAATTTCTGGCCCGATTGTTGATAAATTCATTCCATCTACATTTAGGTATGTCAAAGATTCCATCTTCCACAGCTCTGCAGGTAACTCTTTCAGCTTGGAGCAACCAGAGAGATTGAGTTCTTTAAGGGAATGTAGGTTGCCAATTTTCTCAGGAAATTTCCTAATGTTTTTGCACCCACTTAAATTCAAGACAGCAAGTCTCCTCAATTCTCCAATAGATTCATGGACCTCCACCAAATTTGTGCAATCTTCAACAATTACTCGCTCAAGATTAGGGACAAGCAAGAAGTCAGGGGTCTTGTACAGGCAATGGGAATGACTGAGATTAAGTGTTTTTAATAATCTGAGCGACTGTGAACCAAAAGGAAGATATTAGTTTCTCAAGATATATCAATCACTAAAACATTGAAGGGGAGAAGATGGAAGGCAATTATTATACCTTAGTTTTCTTCCAAACTTGTTCCAAACTGCTATAGGGCATTTCAAGAACAACTAGGCTCTCTAGAGGAAAGTCATTGGGTATTGATCTTGTAGGGAACCCATGCCAAAATAACCATACTAACTTCTTAGGAAATTCTTTGTAGCTTCCAATTAGCCGTACATTATAGGGCTGCAATACTCTTAATTTGCGCATCCCTGAAAATGAAGTAGTTTGAAAGATTTCTTCGTCTGATATGGGCAATAGTTTTGTTAAGGAAGAGAGGATCCCAGAGAAGATGTCAATACGACGTCGTTTAGATGGGTTCCCAGAACGCACTATTGATACATCAAGAAAATCTTCAGAATGTTGTCTATTTCCATCACTTGGACTGGAGAATGTTTGAGCTGGCTTGTCCACGAACAAGTTGAGGATGAGGCCTTTAATTTTTTCCGTACCCTAGTAAAATGGACAAGATAAAGTACACCTAAACAAAATCATACAGATAAAAATGAAAAGCAAATTTCTTACTGTTTTCTCCCTTAACACATCTAAGACATCCTCATGACACCACGGTCTGCTGCGTTTTCCTGGTTTCATCGTATGATTTTTGGCATATAATTTCTCTTCCCATGTCTTGAAGCAACTGGTGCATCTCTAGCTTCTTATTGGCTGTGAGGAGAAATCTGTCCATAAGAGTTCGAAGCCCATCTATCGTGGCGTAACCACAACCGTCCAATATCGTGATCACGTAATCTTTGTCCTTCCCAACAAAGAAACACTCAATATCAAGAAATAAGTTTTTGTAGTGGATATCTGGCAAAGAATCATAGCTTATTTTGAGTACTTGGAGGAATTCATAGTTCGGAATGACTTCTATTCTCTTCAATGCACTTTCCCATTCATCCACGCTTTTCCCAGATAAGCAAGAACCCATCACTTCTAGAACTAAAGGCATCCCCCCACAGCAGTGTGGTACTTTTCTTGACTGTTCAACATGGCCTTCAACTGGTTCATCTTGGCCAAAAGCATGCAAATTGAAAAGCATAAGCGACTCTTAACTATCAAGCTTCCTAATCTCAAGCACCTTATAAATATCATGAGCCTTTAGGAGTTGCTTTTGCCTGGTAGTTATGATAAAACCAGTCTAGTGCTGCTAGTATTTTATTCAATTGGTCTATTCAGTCCACATCATCTAAAACTATAAGAACTCTTTTGTAACCAATGTTGTCTTTAATCTTAGTGATTCCTTCATCAACATTCCAAATTTCGACACATTTGCTCTTCAGTATTTCTGAGAGAAGTTGTTTTTGTAAATGCATGAGCCCATTAGGTTGCGCCGAAATTTCTCTGATGTTTGCAAGAAAACTATTACCCTCAAATCTTTCAAAGTGCAAATTATAAACATATTTGGCAATGGTCGTCTTTCCCATTCCCCCCATCCCACAGATTTACCAAAATGTTAATATCAACTAATTCATCTTGTAACCACAAATTGAGTTCATTGGCTTGGGAATCAATTCTAACTATGTATGAGGGAAGGCTTAGAATTGTGCGGCTCAGTTTGTTGCTAACTTCTGCAACAATTTCTGGGTTAAATTTTCCTCTAACCTATAGATTTCGTATCAATATGAAATGTAAATCACACTATGCATGCACAACTAGAGATGCAATGCAAATTCCCAAGCAAATACAAAATAGGAAGACAAGTAAGACATTATTAGGCAAAGAATGGTACGAATAGAAAGACAAAAGAATTTGAATTTCAACTAGAAGTATAAAGAAATACAGAAGAAAGGAAAAGACATTGATCGCCTATCTAAAATAACCATTTGTAAGTAACTAGGGCGACAAGAGGTTCTTATATTCGACAATTAACATCTATACATTTTTCAAACTACTGCTCATCTTTATTTTTTATTTTTTACTTTAGTGATTATATTTTTGAAGTGGTCTAAATCATATATTACACCTTGAACTCAAAGTTATAACAGTTCCTCCACAAAAACATCTAACTATCTGCCATTTTTGCGCCAGACTTCTACTTCAAATTGAGAACAAAGCAACCTTTCCACTTGTTTGGTTGTATGTACCAATTCACTTTATTCATGGTTTCATATGCTGCTTTTATCTTGGATGAAAGGATAGAACCTAGGATGTCATGGTCATCAGAGACTCAGAGGTGACAATTTACTAGCAGGACAGAAACAAGGTTCTCTATTTTTATTTTATTTGAATAAAAAGTGTGTCATGTTGAAGGGCTCAACCAACTCCATACCCAGCGTATATACTAGCAAAGTCACTTCAAGTAAGTTATGCACACAAGCTTCTAACAGGATACTGGGTGAATGAAGACAAATAGCTGATACACACGATTTGTTCCTTTATGTTATAGCTTCATGCTAATTCTAGCTATTCCACCAATTTAAGTGATTCAATCCTGCAAATACCCTGGGGACTCGCTAAATGAAGACAAACCAGTTCCTGATAATGCAATTGGATCCTCTATTTTTTTTCTCTGAGAGGAACCTCTAAACATATTAGAAAAGGGATTTCTATTATGTAAGAACATATAAATCATAGTTATCATAATTTAAAGAATTCTTCACATAATAATGGGCGACTTAGATAATCCAAACCAAACATATTTATCCAAACCAAACAGTTAATCAATTTGATTTACAAATCCTGTATTCACCTTCTAATAAATTTTTATGTTCCATTTTTTGAAAAAATAATTTTTTATGTTCAACCTCACAGTTGAGATTCAATAGACAACTAAAAACCCCTTATATTGACATATGACTCTAAACACATAACTGAATGGCGCAAAAAGATTCATTTTAATTTACCGAAAACAACTGGCACATATTTTTTTTTTTGGTTTGTTAGTTTGGTTTAAAACCTTACGTTGAGTACCGGAACCACCATTACCGTTAAATGTCACATGAGGGCTTAGCAATAAAAGAATCAAATGACCTTAGAGGCTAGGAGATCTTGGTGAGATGGTGCCTAGAAAGGACAATGAGGACTTACTTATCTCCCAATACCATCCCTGCCAAATTTGCAGCTTCTATAAGAGCTGCCTTCCACTTCTCTACCTGGGCCATAGCATCCTTTTTCTTTTCAGACATCTCTGTTTTGAGCCGCTCTTCATGTCTTACAAATGGTTTTGCAAAGCTTCCCACCTGTTTTCTAACTTATGATGGATCCACATCGTAGAAGATGGGAAGAATTATATGACCACCAGAATTCTTGTGTTCAAGGATCATAACAAGTTCATCGAGGCACCAACTTGAAGATGCATAATTTTTTGAGAAGACAACTATTGATATCTTCGACTCCTCAATTGCCTTCTGTAGTTCTAAACCAATATCCTCTCCTCTCTCAATTCCATCATCATCCTTAAAGGTATGAATTCACTAAAGCTATCTAAAGGTGATCAATAAAGGTCTTGCGAATGTCTTCACCTCTGAAACTTAAGAACACTTGATAACGAAAACGTGATATGGATGAGGAAGCTTCTTTGGGTCTTAGAGCAGCCATAAAAAAAGAGAGCTACGCGAGATAGGAGACTGTGTAGCCTGTGAAGGCACAAGGAAAATATGCTTAAATTGTGAATAAAAAATAATTAAGGAACAGTTAAAAACATAAATAATTAAGGCACGTGGAACATATGCATAAAATGTGAATAAATGTGCAGTTGCTGATTTTTAGGAAATTCTGCCAATTCAGTGACTTGCTAAAAAATTAATATCAAGCAGTCTGTAAACCGTCTACTAATAGGGACGAAATTTCAGACTTTGGAATGCTAGGGATGGCCACATCTCCTTGCGGTGCTATAACAATCTACTGATGAGAAGCAGGGGATAAAAAATCCAATCTTGAATAGCCAGTGGACCCTTGATATTTGTAAAGCCCTTAAAGTAACTGGCAAATATTTAGAAATGGTCTCCCAACAGTTGTATAATTTGGATAGTGTGGGTACATAATAAAATAAGGGCTTAATTCAACAACTTCCCTCCAGTGGAAGTTCAGAAGACATTGGCCATCTCCTTATGCAGTACAAATACAGAAAATGCCTACAAAGTATAATCTAAGAAAGAGGAAAGTGGAGGACTGCCTATTATGCCTACTTTACTTGCAGGAGGAGGAATTTCCAGGATAGCTTATGTTTGTTCTGCTCTTGTACCAAAGTTATAGGGCTGACTACACAGTGGGCTACGTCAGCAACTCAAGAAAGGCACGTCGTAGTACAAGAGTGGTGGCTATCAGTACAAAAACAAAGTCAAACTTAGCCCCGACCTGTTTCTAAGACCATGCAATAAAATCATTTCGACTGTAACTGTCAAAAAGTTTATTTTTTTTGTCTTCAAATCAAAACAGAAATGCAAGGTTGTTTTCAAAGATAAGCTCCCAAAACTATCAAAAGACCCCGCAGTACCGCTACCAAATTACCACTTTTTCCCACAACATAAGACATTCCCATCTGAAAGGGGCAAACCCCCAATTTTGCTGCTATAACTAGATATCTTGCAGTTCCTGTCCAAACATTAAGGGGGCAAATCTATAAACAGAAAGCTAATCAAACAGAAACATGGAAAGAGCAGATCCATCTGGTGCTGAAGAAAGACTAATCTTTTACCAAGTCAACAACATTGGTCAACTCAACAAGAGCAAACAAATCAAAATCAAACCTAGTTTCCAATTCATTAACAACTTCTACATCCATTTGTTCAAAAATTGAGATTGTTCAACTTCTACAAATTGAGATTGTTCAAATCTCAATTTGTACCTCCAATGATCAAAAATCTCAATTTATACCCTCAAAGATAAAAATTTGTATTAATGTGCATCCTCAAAGATAAAAAATCTCAATTTGCACCCTTAAAGATATAAATTTGTATCAATGTGCACCTAAAATTAAATTGATAAATTATACCTAAATCCCCTCATGTTTGTCACTCAATCATTTGAACTCCTTTACATTTAGAATATTCCCCTTACATCTCATGACGTTTGTGCATGTGTAACACATAACTACTTTTCGTTGATTTCTGTTAATATAATCGTTAAAAAATATGATTTTATCCTAATAAAAAATTATAATTTCATATTATCTTTTATTTTGTGGATTCGATATACTCTAAAGTTGAAAATCAAGCTTACCATTTGAATGTCTAATAAAATATAGATATTTATATAAAAGGTAATATGAAAAACATTATATAAATATTTACATTTTATTAGACATTCAAATGGTAAACTAGATTTTGAACTTTAGAATATATTGAACCTATAAAATAAAGGGTAANTAGAGATTCAAATGGTAAACTTGATTTTAAACTTTATAGTATACTGAACCTACAAAATAAAGGGTAATATGAAATTATAATTTTTTATTAAGATAAAATTATATTTTTTAACGGTTATATTAACAGATATTAATGAAAATAGGTTACGTGTTATACGTGCATAAATGTCATAACATGTAGGAGTAATATTTTAATTGTGAAGAGGTCTAAATGATTAAGTGACAAGTATGAGGGGATTTAGGTATAATTTATCAATTTAGTTTTAGGTGCACATTGATACAAATTTCTATCTTTGAGGATGAAAATTGAGATTTTTTATCTTTGGGGTACACATTGATATAAATTTCTATCTTTGAGGGTGCAAATTGAGATTTTTTATCTTTGGGGATGCATATTGATACAAATTTCTATTTTTGAGGATGTAAATTAAAATTTTTTATTTTTGAGAGTGTAAATTGAGATTCAAATAATCTTTCAGGATGCAAAATGAGATTGACTTGACCATAAAATTGATAAAATAAATAAATAAAAACCTTGACTTGACCATAAAATTGATAAAATAGTTTCCAATTCGTGAACCGGTTCTCGTCTGCTTGTTAGTTACTAAGAAGCTTCCTATGTTCACAATATACACAAACTATAGCATTATGAACTCGATGAACATGGTCTAGTGACCTGCACTATCCCGTTCAATGTCTTTCATTAACTCTCCTCTCATGCTACCGAGCACCAGTGTAAGGTTTGCAGGGATCCGGAGGGGTGTAATTTGGGCGGCCAACTCGAATTCAACCTAAGTAACCCAAAAAAAAAATATGACTTGGGTTCAAATTTTTAAAAGGGATCTTCGGACACTGGTATACGAAATTGAGCTTAATTGTCAAGAAGTACATAGAAAAAAATATTTTGTAAAAAAATATATTTAAGATATAGAAAAACTTGAATATTCTTTTATTGCAAATAAGTTTTCTTAAAATATATTTTAGAAAATTTATCAAAACTTATAATAAATTTTCTCCATTTTNAGTTCTTATGGGTTTTCCTCCCTCATTTGACAAAATTTCAAATTTGTTGTTATCTATTGGAGAGATATGAATCAAAATTGATAATTTTAAGTGCAATGTAACAAATTTTATAGGTGACGATGCAAAATAAAATAAAAATAATAATTTAGGGGGATAAAATGTAATTTAATCTATATATATTGTTATTTTTTAAAATCGGTAATGATATCTATGTGCATCAATTTTTTTTTTTTTTTTATGTTTAAAAAAGGGAAGTTTTAAAGAGGGGCGGGACAAANACTCTATATATATTGTTATTTTTTAAAATCGGTAATGATATCTATGTGCATCAATTTTTTTTTTTTTTTTTTATGTTTAAAAAAGGGAAGTTTTAAAGAGGGGCGGGACAAAATATAGCATCCAGAGACCACCCCGATAGAACTTCAGTGGTTGGATCATGAAGCCTATGGCTGCGTCCATTAACCATCGAGCCTCAATGTAGACTCAAACCTCCGACATTATCCATTAGTGAACCATAGTCCTCCAAAGACTACAATTGGTAACAAGGGTAGGAACATAAAGAAGGAAGTTGTTAAAGAACCCTATGCGAACCATTTTGTATGTTTCACTTGTGGAGAGCACGGACACTATAGTACAAATTGCAAGTACTCTGGGGAAGCCATGAATAAAAAGCTAACTCGCTTAGCTTACCAATCCAAGGTTTTAAACGCCAAAATGTTAAACCTTACAATGCTTATGGGTAGGTCTAGTGAGCCAAAGCCAAGGAAAATATCACCACCTAAAGGCTCACTATCTAGGCTAAATAAAACTCTTTCTACTCGTACAGTCAAAATTGATTTAAAGACATCTGGAGAGAAGATAGTTAGTCCTTTAACTATTTTTTGAGCTAACTTCAAAAATGTGAAGGGAAAATAAGTGTGGATGAGTAGTAAGGATCTTGAGAGGCTCACCATCTCAATCAAATTGGAAGTCCCAAGTGCTACCAAGGAGGTTGAGTTAACTAAGAGGTAGGTGAGATGAGAGTGTGGACCTAGGTGCATAGTCATGCATTGCATCTTATAACCTAGGTTCATGTATTGTAAATATTTGTGTTTGTCTATTTACTTTCCTTTTGTTATATGAAAAACACAATATATATATATATATATATATATAGAAATTGAAAACCCAAAAAGAGTTTGGATATACAGTTGGACATCCTTTTAGGATTTATGAGTAATTGTTTTGTTTTTCCTTGTTATTGCATAGTTATGCATATTTTCTGTTTGTAGGTAGTTTTTAAAAATCCAAAAAACATATGAAAAGGAAAAATTCAAAAAGATTTTCTTTTATCTGTTTTTTGTTGTTAATCATGGTAATCAGTCTTTAGCTTAAATTGTAGTGTAAACATCCTTAAATCAAAGTTGAAGTGCATTGCTATGGGACATATTAGGTGATAGAGACCTTAGTGGTTTTAAGTTTTAGTGTATGATCGTTGAACCAAGTCTTTTTCACCCGAGCATGCTTGAATTATTCTATCTTTTGTGAAAATTCATAAAACTAAGTGCACACCTAACCATTCACCTTCATACTTAAGAGTCTTACTAACTTGAATGGTTAATGACCTTATATTACTCTAAGTGTTGGTGTAGGTGAAGACATATGTAAAGGTTAGAAAAGCCCTGAATCCCTTAAAAAGATGACAGAGAGCCCAAATNGATTAATGACCTTATATTACTCTTGGTGTAGGTGAAGACATATGTAAAGGTTAGAAAAGCCCTGAATCCCTTAAAAAGATGACAGAGAGCCCAAATGTGAGAAAAAAGACCAATGTAGTAGCCAAATATAAAAGTAAGGCATAACAAGTGTAATGGCTAGTCTCAATTGCACTTGAGTTGTTGAGAATATTATATGCTAAATGTCATTGTGCACATGTAAAGCTCAAAGAGCTAAGCTACCCATGTTTAAAAGCATCAATTGTAAAGTACGAAATTCNTAGTAGCCAAATATAAAAGTAAGGCATAACAAGTGTAATGGCTAGTCTCAATTGCACTTGAATTGTTGAGAATATTATATGTTAAATGTCATTGTGCACATGTAATGCTCAAAGAGCTAAGCTACCCATGTTTA